GCCACCCCGCCCGCCCCGCCGCGCGTCCCCCGCGGGGGCCCCGCCGCGCCGCCGCCCACGCCCGCCCCGCCGCCCGCGCCCGTCGCCGCCCCGACCCGGGCGCCCCGCGCGGCCGCCGCCACAGCGCCCCCTTCTCCCGGCCCCGCGCAGCCGGGTTCCCGGGCGCAGCGGGCCGCGCCCCTGGCCGCGCCGCCACCAGCGCCCGCCGCGCCCCCGGCCGCGGCGCCCCCAGCCGGCCCGCGCCGTGCACCGCCGCCCGCCGTCGCCGTCCGGGAGCCGCCGCCGCCGGCGCCGCCACAGCAGCAGCAGCAGCCGCCACCGCCGCAGCCACAGCCGCCGCCGGAGGGGGGCGCGGCGCGGGCGGGCGGCCCGGCGCGGCCCGTGAGCCTGCGGGAAGTCGTGCGCTACCTCGGGGGCAGCGGCGGCCCCAGCGGCCGCCTTACTCGCGGCCGCGTGCAGGGGCTGCTGGAAGAGGAGGCGGCACGGAGCCGTCTGGAGCGCACCCGCTTGGGAGCGCTCGCACTGCCCCGCGGAGACAGGCCGGGACGGGCGCCGCCGGCCGCTAGCGCACGCGCGGCGCGGAGCAAGGTGAGCGCACCGGGCAGGTGCGGGCGAAGTTGGCGGGGACTAGAGCCCCGGGAGGGAGCGGGACGTCAGGTGGCCGGGGTTCGTCCAAGGTCCCCGCGGACTCAGAACGCGGTGATCTTGGTCAGTGACCTGATCTGCCGGAGCCTCAGTTTCCTCGGCTGTAAACCGAGAATTGCTGATAGTAGCGACCCCTGGGGGTTGTTGAGCGAGTTTAGTAAGACTTGGCTATTGAGGGCTTTATTAACCCAGAGCCTGGCACGGAAACGACAGCATAAAAGTTACTCCGTGTTGTTGTCAAAGGTGGCGTCGGACACTGGATTCCATCCGGGACTAGAAGAACTCTAACTCTGCCTGCTTCTTTCTCTGGCCCCAGAGAGGTGGAGAAGAGCGGGTGTTTGAGAAAGAAGAGGAAGACGATGATGAAGACGAGGAGGAGGAGGAGGACAATATATCAGAGGGCTCAGAAGTGCCTGAGAGTGACCGCCCCGCAGGTGCTCAGCACCACCAGATTAATGGAGAGCGGGCCCCTCAGAGTGCGAAGGAAAGGGTCAAGGAGTGGTCGCCCTGTGGACCCTACCAGGGCCAGGATGAAGGGCGGGGACCAGCACCTGGCAGCTGCACACGCCAGGTGTTCTCGATGACAGCTATGAATAAAGAAGGGGGGTCAGGTAAGGACCCCCTCGGGGTCGGGCGGTGCAGAGCAGGGAGCTGTGACCTCTAGCCTGGAGACTGACTGCCACTTGTTTTTGCTTCCCAGCTTGTGTTACAGCTGCTCCAGATTCTCCATCTCCTGTGCCTTTGCCCCCAGGAAAACCAGCCCTACCTGGGGCTGACGGGACACCTTTTGGCTGTCCGTAAGTGGAGGCGTTAGGAACATTGGGGTTAGCGCCTGGGCGTGTTGGACAATCAGAGCTGTATGGTTGTATGGTGGTCATTGTTGCTCTCTGTTCTGATGCAGTCCTGGACGCAAAGAGAAGCCAACCGACCCAGTGGAGTGGACAGTCATGGATGTGGTGGAGTACTTCACTGAGGCAGGCTTCCCGGAGCAGGCCACTGCTTTTCAGGAGCAGGTGAGTTCCCAGCCCGCGACTGCGCACCGCTCTGCCCAGACCCTCACAGGTGTCCACTGACTTGCCCTTTCTGTCCTGCCCAGGAAATTGATGGCAAGTCTTTGTTGCTCATGCAACGGACAGATGTGCTGACTGGCCTGTCCATCCGCCTGGGCCCAGCCCTGAAGATCTACGAGCACCACATCAAGGTGCTCCAGCAAGGCCATTTTGAGGAGGATGACCCTGATGGCTTCCTTGGCTGAGTGCCAGCCTTGCCCCTACCCCAGCCAGTCCAGATCGTATCACAGCGCCCTGATAGTCCAGGAACTGGACATAGGGACACCCTCGACTTCCTAACAGACTCCAGTGAGGGGGTACCCTCCTCCATTTCCCCCTTTTCTCACACCCCTACCTTAGTACATCTCCTCTCCACAGCCATGGAGTGTGGGACAGGAGGACTTGGTTGGCCCATTCACAGGGGCCACCCTTTCTCCCCAAACCAGGACATTTTTGAAAAACAAAAAATCAGGGGAGCTTCCTGTGGCCCCCAAACCCTCTTGAGTTCAGCCAGATGTTATCTTATATAAGTGTTCTGTTCTGCCTGTCCTGGTGGTGGGTTCTGCTCCACCACCCGTTCCCTGCCCCCCACCCTGACCTCTAGCCTCTGGAAAATAGGTGAGGTAAGGGACCTTGGGTTCTCTGGCTCCTTCCCTGTCTGTCCATTGTTGCTCCACCTGGCTGTATGGCTTTTTAATATTGCACCGAAGGTTTTTTAAATAAAACTTTAAAAAAAAAAAGAGTCCATTTTTCTGAATGGAGGCAGGAGGTGCAAAGAGCCTTGAGTTTAGTGTGGGGGCAAGAGGGAAGAACAGTGCCTGCTTTGCCCAGCCCCCTAGAAGGGCTCACTCCAGGGGGCCCTTGCCAAGCCTGCAGACAGTATGCCATGGTTCCATTTCCAGGTGCTACGGAAAGGAAGTGGTGTTTGCAGCACATGTCGTCAGCATTTCAGAAACAGAAGCAGGATCAGGACAAGGTTAGCCTTAGCTACATAGTGAGTTCAGGGCCAGCCTAGGTTACCTACTACAGTTCTGTCTTGCAAAACAAAACTCTAGGACCAGAATAGTTGCTTTGTCTTGTCATCTCATTCCAGAACCACCTGTCAAGCGTTTGTTGAGTGACTAACCGTTAACTGCACACTTGCTGGGCCTTTAGTTGTTTATGAAGCAGACGTCATAAAACCTCACTTTATAGAATGGGACAAATGAGTTTGATGCAGTCAAGAAGGTGAGGGTCATGCAGGACACTGTGACACCTGTTGCTGCTTTACCGCAAGCCTTGTAATTAATGTATTTTGCTTCCTAGCCGAACTTAAGTGCCAATCAGTCTTTGCACTTGGATAGGAATCCAATCTACAAGTGTCAGAGGTGTGTTCTCTGTCCAGGGCAGGCATATTGGAATAAAGGAGACAATGGGATAAACCAAATCACTGTCTGAGGGTCTTTATTGTGGAAATGACTGCTAGTCACTAGTCTCTCGTAGGTTCACCGGCAGATCCCAGCTCCATCAGTGAAGAATCTGATCTTGGGGGTCAGCGGCTGGGGTGGAGCCTAGGCCTCTCGGTAACCCGCATTCCCCAATTCCTAACATGTTAGGAATCCCCTCCAGCCCGGTCAACGACCTGGGAGAGAGAAGGCGCCAACCTACAAATATCTACTAGGCCGGTCTGGAGCTCCGCCCTTGACATCGCCCTGCCCCGCGCGCACCAGGTGCCGGCTGAGCTCTGTGCGCGGTGCAGGCCCAGGCTGCGCGGCCCTCCGCGTGCTCCAATTCAAAAGAGGCGAAAGCCTCGCGGGGCGGCGCCGGCAGAGGCGTCGAGGCTGGTTCGAGGGGGTGACGGTGCTCACTGCCCCGACCGTTAGGCCCCAGGTGTGCTGCCCTCCTGGGACGCCACGGAGGCTGGAGGAGCCTGTGCTGGATGCCCGATGGCTGCGGAGTCCTGGTTCGCCGGGTCGCTGGCCCTGGGCCCTGGAGAAGCACCGCCTTCGGACGATTCGATACCCGGGCCGCCGCCCTATGGAGACCCCTCGTGGTCGCCCGCCCGGAGACCCGAGGCCTCAGCGGAGCAGGAGCCGCAGCAGGCACAGCAGCTGATGGAAACCCCAGCCTCAGCTACCTCCAGGGAGCCACTGGCAACGGAGCTCGGACCTGCTCGCCTCCCACTGGACTCCATGTTCAACCCCATCACTGACCAGCTCCGTTATCTGCTCAGGAAGGCGGATGACTTTCAAAGCTACTTGCTCTACAGGTGACCAAGTGCTGGGGCCAGGTTCCAGGACAGGACAGGCTGAGGCTGTACAGCTCACACCAGGGCCCAGAGACAGTACTCACGGCTAGCTAGTTAGAAATACACTATACTAGTGTGCCGAGGGGTGGAGAATTGAGAGGCAGGAGCAGGCAATGTGTGGGCTTTTGGGACAACAAGAGCCAGTCCTTTCACAATCTTGTTTTTGGTTTGTTGGTTGATTTGGCCGATATTTTTTTTTTTTAGATAATATCTCATCACGTTCAAAATAGCGACCCTCCTGCCTCAGTCTACTGAGTACTGCCTACCAATTTGAAATGCTCAGATTAAAAAAACCTTATAAGTCAGCTAAACAAAATCTATCTGCATTAACTCTGACAGAGGCCACACTCCACTCCCAAGAAAAATCCGATTTCTGGACCAGGGCAAAGGGATTGTCTGTCTTGTGTCTGTCGGAGGCTGGCTTAACCCCCAGCTTTCTGAGCCCCATTCGGCAGTTGCGTGCACCCCCAGACACACCGGGGAGGGAACCTAGGCCCTTGTGCTAGCCCTGGGCCACAGCGGGGCACACCCGGCCCAGGTGTCAGCATTTTAACAAATGTCCTAAAGGACGGGTGCAGGTGGTTCTGAAAGGGGAGAACGACTTGACACCGGGGGATCTTTCTTATGCGAGTGCTGAGACTAGAGCTCCACCTGTGGCAAGGCCCAGTCTTGAACAGAGACAACCTCCCAGTCCCTCTATGTTTGATTTTGGGTGCGGGGGGGGGGGGGGGATGGAACCAAGGGCTCTGCCCGGGCTAAGCGCGCTGACGCTAAGCTGGCCCTGGGGATACAGGTGGTAAGCACGGGGCACCTGGGGATGGCGGGAGAGTGATACCACGTGAAGGCCCCTTTCTCCCTTCAGCAGGGATCGAGTACAGAAGGAACAGCTAGCCAAGGCCATGCCCACCTTCTTAAGGATGTGCGAACCTTACTTCCTGTACCTTGAGGCTGCCGCAAGGAGTGTCCCCCCCATCTACGGAGCACTGCAGGAGCTGGTCCGGAAGGGGGTGTGTACCTTACCAGGTCCCATTCTCCTTGGGCTCCCGCCTAGGGATGGGAGGGTGGCTTCTGGCCGACCCTCTGAGGTCAGGGAGTTTCCCACTTCCCATGCAGTTGCTGGAGATGTCCCAGCAGCTCACCCTGCGTTTGGAACAGTTAGTTCTCATGTATGCTTCCTTCGGATTCGTGGACCTGGAGGAAACCAACCCTTTGAGGTAAGGGGGCAGGGAATGAGTTGTGGGGTGGCAGATTCCAGGGCCCAGCTTGCTGTCCACTCTCTATCTCCTGTTAGCATCTCCTGCTTCTTCTGCGGGAGATTCTCCCTTAGCCCCTCCCACGATGTGTCCATCTTCCGGTACTGCACCCCAGCTGCGTACACCGCCAGTCACTTCCCGAGATACCTCTATAAGAAGATGCGCTGGAACCTGGAAACCACCACAGAGGCCAGTAGCCAAGGAACAGACTCCCATGTGGATTAGTGAGTTTCCTTGTCAGAATCAAAATCCTTCCCCTTCCTATGTTGAATGAGAGCTTGAGCCTCTCCAGCGGCCACCAGAGAGTGAAAAGCGAGACAGGAAAATGAACACCTTTTGCAGTTGCTGGGATAACATCTGCTAGGCCAGCAATGCACACTTTTAGTTTTTCTTAACTCCACCTTCACCTTCAGATTGGGCCGCCAGGGAGGAAAGTCCTCAGCACATCCCCACATCCCCACCTGAGAACTTAAGGCAACTTCTGACGGATGAACCCTCACCTCCAGAAAGAAAGCCTTCAGCAGAAAAACTGAGGGCACTGCTTTTCCTTCTGATTTCTCTCAGCTACTTCTTATGTTATCGAGATACATGGGAGGATGCAGGCCAGGGTCCAGCCAATTCGTGCCCCCAAATCCAGAAACTCTGGTCCATCGGCCGCTGGATGCCCCTAGGACCGGCAGAGGATGACCTTGATTCATGGTAGGATGCCAGCGATGGCTATGTGGGCTTTGAGGTTGGAGGGAGGGTGGGACAAAACCCCACCAATGACTGTACCTCATTTTACTGTGCCCTGAAAAGTGCTTTATGTAGACTACACAGCAGTTCGTAAAGGTGTGGACCAGTCCATCCATTTTACAATGAAGAAAACGTGTTTTCAGAGTCGATAAGTCACTTTCCCAGGGAGACACAGCTAGGAAAGTGATTAACAGCCTCAAGTCCAGTGCTGCAACTCAGGAGTTTGTCAGCAAAGGACACACCTTACCTTAGGATATCCCCCACCCCTAACCAAAAGCCCTCATGTCCAGTCTTGTCTCCGGACCCCCAGGATTTTGTGCCCGCAGCCACCCGGGGACTACCAGCAGTTACTAACCATCGGCTTCGAGGAGCCTTCGCATGTGCTGGCCACCGACCTGCTGGTACAGATCCTCATGGGCCAGGTAGGCCCCGCCCGGCCCCCCATCGCTGCCGGGCCCTCGGCTTGGGCTGCCCCGGCATCCTGAGCCCCAGGAGAAGACGCCAGCCGGGGCTTGATAACCCCAAACTCCAGGCAGGAACAGGGGCGGGCTGCACTGAGGACGTCCCGGCATGGGCCACCGAACACCAAGTGCGGACACACTTTTCTGTTAATAAAAGAGCGAGGTCAGAGGTTCTGTCTCCTGTGAACACTGCGTCCCTCCCCTGGGGGCGGGTAGGCCCCGCCCACCGAGGGCCCTTCTGGGAAGTGTAGTCCGAAGACCTCGTCGAGAGCTGCACATGCGCAGATATGTACATGAGTCAAAGAGGGAAGTAGCGGCTCTCGTCAGCAACCGGAACCCAGAAAACAAGTTTCTGGTAGCAGGAAAATTCTAGGCCCGCTGGAGGAAGACTTAGACCTACGCCGGTTTGGTGGGTTTTTTTTTTTAACCCGGAAGTGATTCCTAGCCAGGATTTTTTAAAAAACTACATTTCCCGATGTGCCCTAGGAAACTGCAGGCGATCAATTTGTAGAGTGGAGTCAGACTTTCTTCCAGCTTTTGGGATGTCCGAGTCGAGCTGATTGTTGTCTTGTCCCGCGAAGAGTGTCTGGAGCCCAGGCTAGGAGAGTCCATCAATCTTGGGCTGGCAAGGAGGCTCTAGCTGAGAGAAATGAACTGCCCTGCTCTTCGGAAGCTCTGTCAGAAGCTGTGTCTTCTGAGCAGAACTGGCCCCTGCTTAGGAATGGGGTCCTTCCTCCTCCCCTGTGTCACCCTGAGAGGTCGATTTTTTTTTTTTTTTTTTTTTTGAGACAGGGTTTCTCTGTAGCTTTGGTGCCGATCCCGGAACTAGCTCTTGTAGACCAGGCTGGCCTCGAACTCACAGAGATCCGACTGCCTCTGCCTCCCGAGTGCTGGGATTAAAGGCATGCGCCACCACTGCCCGGCCTGAGAGGTCGATTTTTGAATCCTAAAATTTTCACATTCAGACTGAGAATGTGAGACCCAGAACTATTGAGAGCCAGAACGATGCCTTGTGGTTTTTGTTTAAGTAATTTTTGCCGGGTGGTGGTGGCTCACGCCTTTAATTCCAGCATTAGAGAGGCAGAGGTGGATCTCTGTGAGTTTGACGCCAGTTTGGTCTACAAACTGAATTCCAGGACAGCCAGGGCTGTTACGTGGAGAAACCCTGTCTCAAAAAACAAGAGTAATTTTTATTAGCCGGGCATGGTAGCACACACCTTTAATCCATAGCACTCAGGGAAACCAAGGCAGGTGGGTCTCTGTGAGTTCTAGGCCAGCCTGGTCTATATAGTCAGTTCCAGGATGCTTGGGCTATGTAGAGTCAGTCTCTCTCTCTCTCTCTCTCTCTCTCTCTCTCTCTCTATATATATATATATATATATATATGTGTGTGTGTGTGTGTGTGTGTGTGTGTGTGTATATATATATATATTCTGTATGAACTTTTCCTGCTTTCCCACAGAGGCCAGAAGAGGGCATCAGATATGCTAGGACTGGAATGAGAGTTGTCAGCTTCTGTGTGAGTGCAAGAAACTGAATAGAAGCCCTCTCAGAAAGCCCCCAGCACTCTTATTAGCCGAGCCATCTTGCCAGAACCTTTCCTTTTGTATCCAGCTGGAGCCTTTTCTTCCAGCCGGGGCCTCCAGAGCGTGCCACCATGCCTTAAGCTTCAGGAAGTCAGCTAACAGTACCTGGTCCGTGCGATTACAAACGCGTTTTAAACAGATGTGACAGATGAGCAGACTCCAGGCAACACACCAAGCCCTGGCTCTTCCAGAGAGGCCTCTGCTAACCACGACACCTGGAGACTGTTTCCCTCCGCAGCTTGGGTCAGAATAACCCCAACACCGCTCTGATTCCTCCTAATATTGATCTGAGCAGCTCCTGTGTCTATTCGCATCGCTCCTGGGAAAAATCTTTGCCTCCCAGCACACACATGTGAGCTCACAACCATTTGTACCTCCAGCTCCCGGGAGCCCTATGCCCTATTTTGGTTTCTTTTTTTCCTTTTTTTTTTTTTTTTTTTTTTTTTTTTTTTTTTTTTTTTTTTTTTTTTTTTGGTTTTTCGAGACAGTGTTTCTCTGTGGCTTTGGAGCCTGTCCTGGAACTAGCTCTGTAGACCAAGCTGGTCTCGAACTCACAGAGATCCGCCTGCCTCTCCTATTTTGGTTTCTGCAGGCACCAGGCACTTGGATGATACACAGGCTTACTGCAAGGGAAAACACTCATTCACATAAGAAGTATAAATACTGATGTCAGGGTTTGGGGTGTGGTTGAACTTGCATGCACAAGGCTCTTGGTTTGATCTCCAGCACTACAGAAGTAAGAGTCTTGGCTCAGCACAGTGGCGCAGACCTGTGATCCCAGCACTCAGGAGAGGAGCTAGAGGATTGCTGTAAGCTGGAGGCCAGCCTGGTTAACAAAGTGAGACCTTGCTTAATAAGACTGAGCCAGGCGGTGGTGGTGCACACCTTTAATCCTAGCACTTGGGAGGCAGAGGCAGGCGGATCTCTCTGAGTTCAAGGCCAGCCTGGTCTTCTAGAGAAAAAAAAAGACAGGGAACTGTTTGTCAAGTACTTGTCATACAAGTTCAGTTTGAATCCTGGAATCCACCTATAGGTAGAAAGAACTGACCCCCCAAAAGTTGTCCTCTGATGGCCACACATATGTAGCAGCATGCCCCCACATCACACATACGCAATAATAAATATTAATAATATAAATAATAAATAAGCAGGGTATGGGGCACACACCTTTAATTTCAGTACTTGGGAGGCAGAGGCAGGCAGATCTCTTGAGTTCTAGCCAGGACTAGAGTGTGGGAAGGAGAACTAGAGACATAGCTCAGCAGGTAGGAGTGCTAGCTGCTCTTCCAGAAGACCAAGATTCAATTCCCAACACTCACATTGTGGTTGGCAACCATCTGTCACTCCAGTTCTACAGCATCAGACACTCTCCCCAGGTACCAGGCATGCATGAGCACACAGATGTACACACACATGCACACACACATGGTCTACAGAGTTCCAGGGCAGCCAGGGCTACACAGAGAAACTCTGACTCGAAAAACCAAAAATTAAAATAAGGTGGACAGCTTCTGAGGAACATCTGCAGTTGGCTTTTTGCCACACATAGATGTGTGCACGCAAATGAACTGTCCCACAGACATTCCACATCCACCAAAGGGCGGCTTGTGCTTGTGATTCCATTTGCCACCCTAGCGGTTCTCTGCTGTCTCGCCATCAGTTGCAAACACAGTCAAGTCTACGGCGACATAGACTCTGGAGGGCCCCTCTCCGGCTGAGCAGCTTCTGGGTGAAACACCACAGGGACCTTTCCCGTGCTTTATTTGCTGGCATTCATTAGTCACTCGCTGTAAGCTGAAGGGCAAGCCTGGTTAACACAGTAAGATGCAAGGGCCACAACTAACAAATCAGGCATTTAAACCATAATGCTAATATTTATTCGTGTGTCAGCGTGTATGTTGTAGTGGACATTCCATGGCATATGGGATGGGAAAAAAGTCTTGAGTGTCAGTCCTCGTCTTTCACCTTGGGGTTTTGTTTTGTTTGTTTTTGTTTTGAGACAGGGTTTCCCTGTGTAGCTTTGGAGCCTGTCCTAGAACTCCCTCTATAGACCTGGCTGGCCTCAAACTCACAGAGATCTGCCTACCTCTGCCTCCCAAGTGCTGGGATTAAAGGCATGTGTCATCACCGCCCAACTGTTCTTCACCTTATTTTAAACAAGCTGCCATTTCCTACTAAGAGTCTGCAGGACTTTGCATGCACGATGGCTTTTTACTTGGTTTTTGGGGATCTGAGTTCAGATCACCAGACTCGTATGACAAACGTTTTACCCACTGAGACATATCCTCAGCCCCTTAATTTATTATTCATATATATTTTGAGACAGAGTGTCATATAACCAGACTGGCCTCAAGCTGTCTACGTAGCTGAGGATGACCTTGAACTTCTGATCTGCCTGCCCCTACCTCTGCTTTCAAGTGCACCAGGCAAGTACCAACTGAGCTGGATCTCTAGCCCTACACAACAGTTCTACGGTGTTCTGAGGTCCCACTTTCCCCAATCCTAGCCACTTCTAAAAAGCTGTTATATTGCCCTGGCGCTGTGAATTACACAGACGCCATTTCTTCAGACAGTTTAGAGTATTTACCAGCAGTTAAGCAGGGTTCGCAGTGGACCAGCTCCTGTCCACTCCCACTTGCATTTTCCCCCTTCTGCAACTGGTCACTCTGTAGACCAGGCTGGCCTTGAACTCAGAGATCTGCCTGCCTCCAACTCCCAAGTGCTGAGTTTAAAGGAAAATGTGCTTCCTTAGCAGTCCCACGTGAATAATTTTAAAGGTTTTTTTTTTTTTAAAAAAAGAACTTGGTATGATGACACAGGCCTGCAATCCCAACACTTAGGAAGCAGAAGCAGGAAGACCACAGGTTCAAAGCCATCCTGGAGCCAGGCGATGGTGGCGCACACCTTTAATCCCAGCACTTGGAGGCAGAGGCAGGCGGATCTCTGTGAGTTTTTGAGACCAGCCTGATCTACAGAGCTAGTTCAGGATAGGCTCCAAAGCCACGGAGAAACCCTGCCTCGGAAAAAAAAAAAAGCCATCCTGATCCACATAGCCAACTAGGGCTACATAGTGAGTCCCTGTCTCAAAAGATTTTTAAAGGGAAAAGAGATTCCTAAGTAGTAAAAATAAGTAGTTTTGTTTTGGCTCAAACCCAGGGGCTTGTACTTGCTGGGCAAATGCTGAAGATTTGTTTTTGATTAAAGGATTTAAAAAAATTATGTATGTGGCCAGGTGCGGTGGTAAATACACCTCTAATTCCAGCACTCAGGAGGTAGAGGTAGAAGGATCTCTGTGAGTTCAAGGCCAGCCTGGTCTGCATAGTTCTAGGACAGCCAGAATTACATAGAGGAGAGAGCCTGTCTTTAAAAAAGAATTGTGTGTGTGTGCATGAGTGTGTGTGCCTGTGTACTCCAGGGCGCCAGATGTGCATGAATGTGTGTCCCTGTGTAT